GCTCTACAATGTAGCAATAATATATTCATTTTGAAATTCTCTAACATAAAAAGTTTCTTTAGCAGTGGTTTCACTTTATGTTTCCCAGTGCCTAATTTTAGCTGCCGGTTTATTTTAAAATACCTATGTTGCACAAAGACAGGTACCAGTAACTGCACGGAAGTGAGCCCTGGCGCCGTCACTGTACCTATGGGGCGTGTGCAAGGCTAACCAAGCACTTCCATTAATACTGAGTAGGCAAGAAAAGATCATACTATGCAAAGACTTAGGTGTACATCAGCACTCATCAAGCCTGAATGTGGGGGAAAAAGGGAGACAGTTTATATAGCATATATTATATAGTACACTAAAAGTGAACAGCTCAGTTCTGGATGGTAAACCTGGTTGGAATTCTAACTCTGACGCTCATATGTTTAACTTTGGAGAAATCATTTGATCACTGAGCTTACTTGCCTGAGGATGGGGTGATACTGATCCCTCCAAATGGTTGTTGTGAGGGTTGACTGTGGTAATGCTCAGCACAGATCCCGTGAGAATAATAGTAGCTGCTCGTTATGAAGTTCTGAACCCCAGGAACCTGCCATTGTAAAGGGGATGCCGTTTGGGTGGGCAGCACGAAGCTCTCCTGGGAATTACACATAAATTCCCGAGGGTTACCAAAACTTAACGTTGGTAGGTATTTCCAAAGTCATCTAACTTCCTTCCTCCCTCCCTCCCTCCCTTCCTTCCTTCCTTCCTTCCTTCTCATGTTTTCCTCCTAAATTGTCACTGCTTTAATTCTTCTTTTAAAGGTATGAGGAACACTATAGTGGGCAAATCAAAGGTTGCTCAGCTCCGTAATTATTTTGATGGTGCCATCATGGAATGAATTTTTTGAGGAAATGATCCACTTGTAGTACCCCTCCCCACTCCTATCCCAATTTAAGTACTTCTTTCATAAAGGGAAATTTACCATTCCAGGTGAGAAGTTTTGCCCAAGTTCTCGTGATACACTTTCTTTTCCCCTCTGTTTCTCTGTGAACAACAGATATGTTGCTAAATGTGAGACTGATCCATTCATTCAGTAAGCACTTGGCAAGCACCTACCACATACAGCTCTGAATGCAGAGTTAGGACAGAGTTGTGTCAAGAGCAGTCGCTGCCTTCAAGGAGCTGGAAATGAGGCTGAAGAGAAAACTATAGAAACCAATTTCGAATGATCATTGGGGCCACTAGTGCAGAGCACTGAGGTGTAGGAATCCAGGGGAGATAAGATTGTGTCCCAGGAGGTCACCTGGAAGGGTAGGTGGGATTTAACAGACAAAACCCGGGACAGAGTATAAGAGATTGCAATAAGCGGGTGCAGTGGACATCTGTTGTTTCAGATTGCCCAGAGTCCTCCATTGTATGTTTTCATAGCAACCCCTCAGGTTTCCATTGAGGAACTTCCTAAACCCAGTCTTGGTGAAAGTGACAGGCTGCCGTGCCCTATCTAGGTCAAGAGGTGAGTGTATTGTTGAAGGAAGGACATGTAGAGAATTTTGGCTGGGAGTTTAAATTTTGAGCAGAGTGAGCCAAGAAGAGAGCCCTTCGACATAGACAACACTAACCTTTGGTGTTGCTGCTCAAGACTCTCCTTTTGCAAAGATTATTAATGTATTCCTGCTCGCTTGGTACCCTGAGCCACCCTGGGCACTGGCCTGCTTGAGCTCGTGGGCTCATTTTTTATCCTATTGACATGACCCACCCCCACATTATTCTAACATATTCCCTCCTTTGTCTTAGGTTAGCCAGAACCATCAGTTCTCTTATATTCAACCAAATAACCTGAGATGGTAGCTAAGAGCAGAAAGGAAAAGAGATATTTGGGCAGTAATTGATAGTCCTTCTGGATAGCTTGCAGAGCACACACTGGAGAGCTGGTATTCGGAAATAGAGTTGGACAGGTTGCTTTGGTCTGGAGTGGGGAAGATCTTGACTGCTAGGCTCAAGTGATCCAATCAAAGCTCCATTTTAGGAAGTTTAAGTCGGGGAGGGGGAACCCGTGTGGAGACGGGAAGAGCAGGGTAGTTGGAATTGTAGCTTCTCTGGCCTATATATATCATTTGTTCGATTTAACATCGTTTTTTGAGAACTGACTATATGCCAGGCTCAGTGTTGGATTTTAGGACTATAAAGATGATTAAGCCACAGTTCTTGTCTTTCCAGAGCCTCCAAGCTAGAAGGTAAATCAGACCAGTAGATGTGAGATAAATCATTACGATTAGGTAAAAGCTATGGATAGGTGTTTTATGTAAGTGAAAGTGGTTAGCACTTCTGTTGGGTTGGGAAAGGCTTCACAGCGGTAGCAATTTCTGAAGAGAGTTTTGAATGGCAGTTTGCCAGGTGATCACAGTGGAGGTAGGCATAAGCATTGGGATTAAAAGTGGGGAGTCCTGGAAACACCAGGACTAGAGATACAGAGCTAGGATCATAAATGGATAATATGACAGTAAAAAAAAAATGGGAGCAGATGAAAATGCCCAGGGACATAGATGACAGTCATGAAAGAAAAAAAGCCAGGACTGGCCTCTGAAGAACACCAACAGTTAAAGGGTGGGCTGAAAAGGGGGATGCCCAGCAGAGGACATGAGACAGAAGTGAGTGATTAAGAGAGTCACTGAGTCAGGATGTCGCGGAAGCCAGGAGAGGAGAAAGTGACAGGATGGGAGGAGCAGTGTCAGATGCCACTCTAACAAGGTTAAATAAAAATAGGGCCATTAATAAAAATAGGAATGTCCATTAGTTTGGGCAAAGGAAAGGTCAGTGTTAGTGAGTCATTTCAGTGGGATGGCGGTGAGATGACAGGGAGGAACGGGGGAGATGAGGAAAGGGAGGCATGATTGGATGAAAGGAGGGAAATGTTAACAAAGGGGAATCCAGGTTGAGGGAGGCTGCTTTCTGTGTTTTGCTTTGTTAATGAGAAAAATTGACGTCTAATGGTCTGGGAGGTTCATGACATGGACTTTCCTCACAGCTGAGTACCTTAAAGAAAACAAGATGTTGCTTCTGAAATGTAAATATACAATCTCACTCTTGGTCCAAGATGGGCTTGTCTTATTTTATATTCTACTGTGTCACAAAAATGTAGTGCATTTTACTATATAATTTGTGCAGATGTTAAATGGTTTGACATGTGCCAGAATCAAATAAATTTGGGATCGTCGTATATTAAAATTTTAATTTGGCCATACGTAGGTTTACCTTTTTCAAAGAGGGAAAATCAAGTTGAATTTTAATTCCAAGTGTTCATTTTCTTAGGGAGAGATATTTAGAGGACACACAAACACCTTATGTGACAGCTTACCCCCAAAGGAGGGAGGTGAGGTTTTGCAGAAACTAATTGTGATTCTTGTAAAATAATTCCTACTAAAGATTCCCCACTTAGTGTTGACTCCTAAGGGGCTAGTCAGCTAGTGGGTGTTGTGCGCATTTCATGCTTCATGACTTTTTCAGTCTGTTGTATTAGCCAGTCAGTAATCATTAGGTTTCACATCAAAGAAACCCAGTTTTAAGTAAAGAAAAATAAATTTGTTGGTTCAAGAAATGTAACCATGATAAAGTCAAGGAAAACCTATCTCAGAGTTATCTAGAACCAGAAACTGATTTACTAAATTTATCTCATCTATTCCATCCATCCATCCATCCATCCATCCATCCATCCATCCATCCATCCTTCCATCTTTTACATCTACTTCTCAGCTTTGTTTGTTTCTAAATGTAAGCTCCTCCCTTCTCAACCACTGCAAACTGGTTGCTCTTTGTTGCTAGGACAGTGGGTGCCAACAGCTTCTAATCTGGTGTTCTCATAACTCTACCATGAGAGGAAAAGACTTTCCCATTGTCATATGCCCACCCCACCCCAATGCTCAGACCAATATGGTCGGAGGGATTGAGCTAGAATTGGTCCAGCTAGGATGAGAAGCCCATCCCGTGCCGAGTTGCTGTGACTGGAAAGACAGGCTCATAGAAGGAGATAGCATCTCCCATTGACCTGCTGGGTGAAGGAGTGCCTCAAAAGAGCTGAGGTTACTGCCTGAGAAAAGAAAGGTGCTAGGTAGACAAAACTATAAATGGTCAATAAATTTGGTTAGCACAAAACTTAATGTAGTCTCAGAAAAAGTGGGCTGATTGATTTGGAATGGGGGTAGGGGAAAGTTTTCTGGAAATATCTGCACATATCTTTCCATGTGTGCAGGACATATCTTTCCCAGCAAAGGGAATTACAGATGGGTTATAACTCAGTTTTGATAAAGTTTGAATAAACCACATACAGAGACATAGCATTTCACATTTTAAAAGTAATTTCATTTGCATCAGGTTATTTGAGCTACAAATATTCCAGTGGGTATTTTTTAATCTTCATGTTTTTGAGATGACAGTCTCAGAAAAAAACTGTTTCTTACCCAGGATTCTATAACTAGTGAGTAGGTTGGTAGTGACTTTGGGTTTGGAATCAGTAGTCCTGACTTCAAACATGTCTTCCATTACACCCTATTATTTATGCATTTATGCACAATTAATAAATGCACAGTTAATAAATGCACAATTTTTTCTAAAGGGTTGTACGATCTTGCCCACTTTTAGGAATTGTTTTTGTGTGTGACTTTTAAATTGCATTTGTAAATCAGTCATACCCAATTTGTTAAAGTTAAGACTGCAGATTCCTCATGCCACCATTAAATATGCTGTTGTTGACACAGTCTCTTCAAAAGGACAACATAATTTTTGGTTTCTCTTTAAAATATTATGGCATTTCTTAATTGCTAGGTATTCCATAGGATTATGTGTTTCCAGATAGCCTAGAATCGGTGGCCTAAAGTGGTTTCTGATTCACCAAAGAATGATATGGTCATTTGTTTAATATGGTAATTCTCTAATCTGATTGACCAGAAAGAAAAAAGGTATACAAAAATAGAAGTTTTTAAATATTAAATTTATTTGTATTGTTAGCAATTCCTTGATATTATTGTTTGTTTCAGATGAGAAGAAACAGATGGTTGCAAATGTGGAGAAACAGCTTGAAGAAGCAAAAGAACTGGTATGTAGCGACTTGGTAATATTTTAACACACAACCAGAGTCATTTATGTGGATGCCTTCCTCTAGCCTGTTTTATACAATGTAGAAATGTGAAACATGACTGATTAGCATTTTATAATTTGAAATTTATCCATTTTTAAATTTAAGAGACTTGAATAGTTTCTTGGGATTTTACTCTTCTTAATAAAGGTGATTCATTAAACATCCACCTCTAATTCTTATTCCTTAATAATACTTTTCATAATAACTGTAAATAGCCAATGCTTGTTAAAGGCACCCTGGGTACCAGACACTGGGATCAGCATAGTACTTTGTAATATTAATTTTCATAAAAATCCTATGAGACAAGTAGTATTTATCGAAAACTGTTAAGGATGTGAGATTTTCCCCTACTTTCTCACTAACGAGTGAGCTTGTCACAATTTCATGGCTGCTGATAAAGGATATGAGATTTCTAGGTCAGAGATAAAAGAGTTTTATTACTCACAGCAAAAGCAGCTACCAGGGTTTCAGCAGGCTGGTATCAGTTCCCTGAGCCCCAGTTCCCACAAGAGTGATGCAGGCGGCCCTCAATGTGCGCCCGCACGTACAGTGGAGTATCTTCCAGGAGAGGAACGTGGAGCCTGGGAAATGCGCTGCTTTATAGCAGCCCGTAAGCAAGCCCACTGTTTGTCCCAGAGGGACACATCATCTCCGCCAAGCTTGCTCTCTGCAAATACAGCCCTGAGAAATGTCCAGGGAAAAGAGTGCTCAAGGCCGTGAATTCTTGGCAGGACTCACAGGAGTCTGATAAAACCATGGAGGAGTGATTTTCAACACTGCTATTACACACACACACCCCTTTTTGTAGATGGGGAAACTGAGGCTTAGGAAGATTAAGTTATTTGTCTGTCTCCTCATACCCAGTAAGTGATGGAGCAAGGATTTGTATCTAGATATGCTAATCTTAGAGCTCTAGCTCATTCGCTGCTTTTTGATATAAATACATTCACAGGGGTGACAGGTTAGCTCAGTTGGTTAGAGCGTCTTGCTGATAACACCCAAGTTGCCAGTTCGATCCCTGCATGGGCCACTGTGCGCCTTCCTTAAAAAAGAGTCAACTATGCCATGAAAGCAATGTGTAACTAAAGGCCATGGCTGTTCCCCAATAAAATTTATAAACAAATAATAATAAAATAAATACATTGACAAATCAGGAAGTCAAAAAGTACTGTGTCCCAATTTTTGGTTTTAAAATCTGACTATTGCAGGTATGATTCAACTTGTTGCTGCATTGTGGTCTTAAATCAGTGTGTTGCTTTTCTAAATATTGAAGGGTCTGCTTGGTGTTCCTTCAGTATTGCTTACTCATATACTTAGGACGTTTCCCAAAGTGTGTTTCTATTAACTGGTGTTACCTATGCAAAGAAGTTTGTAGCTTAAACAGAGTTGGAGGTTGAGGCCTTATTTGTTGTTTTTCTACAGAACCCTCTTGAACCCTTAAGTAGGCTAAATGGTATTAAGAATCTCTAAGATGGGACTATAGGGGGCAGCTACAGCATGGAACATTTCCCAGACTTCTTCGGCTGAGTAACATTTATGAGCAGCGGGGGTGGGGGTGGGGCAGCTGCTTTGGGGGTGTGAAGGAGTTAAGTGGCTGCTGTTCCCCATTGCACAGTAGACGTTTCCTGTGCCTTTGACTCCTAAGACATTGAGTTGCAGCGCCGCTGCTCCATCTGTTCTGTGGCTGGTGCGTTTTTAGCTGTCAGAATGTTGGGTGCACTCCATCCCCTGGAAGGTCTTCTCGTCTTTGCTCACCATTGGCACTGTCTCTGTAGTGGCAGCTGTACTTCTAATCACCACAGCTTCTCATGTTTTCTTGTCTTTTGAAAGTTCCCCCCTTCCCCCACTTTTTTTTTTCAAATGCTTTTCTCCTTTTCTTTTCTTCTTATATTCCAGTTGTATAGCTGCTTTTCTCATGCTTCCTGGTCTTCATAAAAAAGACTGACTTTTTACAATCAGGACACTTCTTCCTTTTAGTTGGTAGGCTGAGCATAAATAGACCGGTCAATTCTTTGGATCTTGAATTGACTTCGTATTGTTGTTGAGTTCTCAGTAGCAGTTCTTTGCCATCAAAATCTATGTTTTGGTTTATTTGGAGACATCACTTACTTTATGATTTTGGAAAGCTGGTCTCCTGATAACTAAGCTTTTATTGTACCAAGAAATGTAAAACATAGCCATACCCTGAGGGAGTTTATAGTCATCTGTAGTTGCTACTAACATAAAGAGTGTTGTCTAAGGTATGTATTTCTATTTGTTTAAAGTGATCAGAAACCTGATTTACTTAATTCTGATGACATCCTTATTAAGAATACCGTTCATTATATTACATGCTGTCCTTTTGATGAGAAATACTTTCTTTTGATTTGTCTTATTAGGATCAGTTGTGTTGCTGCTGAATAATTGGTTTGTATTTATCGCTTGGGCACTATGTGTCTTTTAATTATCATGTCTTCCCTTTTGCATTGTCCCTGTGAATGTTGTGACAATACGAAACAGGTGCATATTAAGTAGCCTTATTCCTGGCTTTATTTTAGGTGCTTGTCATGTGTTTCCTTTTTTCTTTCTTACCTACTTGTAGTTTAGTGTTAAGTGTCCTTGTAAAATGCCTTAAACAAAAGTGTACTTAACTCTTGGATTTTTACTTACATGTACTTTCGCGCTGATTTGTCTGGATGATCCTATTCACTTTGTTAGAAATAAGTACTTAATGACAATTTCAGAGAAGTGCTTTAAATAGTTGCCTTATTAAGTAATTATTTAATTTGTTGGTACTTAACGTTTATGTTGAGACATGTTAATAATTTAAGCTGTCACTGCTTAAATCAAGGCTAATTAAAATTACCTTTTTTTTTCTTTATTAAAATTGAGGCTTGTTAATTTTAACATGGTTTTCTGGCTTACCTGTGTTCTACTAGTTATTTAATCTCTAATACTGGATAAGAGTTTCATTAGTGATAAGCTTACAGTGTTCATGGAAATACTTGTTAGGATGCTTTAAAAGGAAAAAATATATGGCAACACATTTGGATGTGAGTTTATCAGACATGGCTTGAACCAATTTGTTGTTTTTATTTTTTAATACCAAATATAAATAAGTTATGTCTAATACCTTATGCCATGTTTGCTGTACTTTTTCTTCATCATCAGTAATTGTCACTACTATAGTTAATATTAATCTAGCGATTACCAAGTAAGAGACACTGTTCCAAGCACATGATAGGAATTACCCCATTTAATCTCCACCCTACGAAAGACATGCTATTTTTAGACATGAGAAAAGTAAGGCCCAGAGAGGTTAAGAAACCTGTCCAGGTTTGCATGACTAGTAAGTCTTGGAGCCTACAATGCGAACGCAGGCATCGGTCATAAAGCCTGTGTTCTTGACCATCATAACATGTCCATACTGCTTCCCATTAAATGCTCATGTGTTGTACTCAAAGTATTATATAATGACATGTTGCTGTGATTTCAGTGAGCTTTGAGTAATTTAGCATATTACTGTATCCATTTAATTTCTTGTTGACGTGGTTATAAAGTATAAGGCATTAGGCTAGAGGTCGAGATCACATATTGGTCAATATGTGGTTTTCCTAGTCAGGCAAGACTTTCCAGAACAATTTTCACCAAATGACTAAGACTGAGCAGACATTTTATGGATTAATAATAGAAATAATGGTTTGGTTTATCTTCCCATCGTTCTGGTGGTTTAGGGCCAAAAGACCAAACCAGGTTGGACTGAATGAGTACTCTAAGGACATCAAAATCATTATTACTGATGTTTGGATTAAGGCATATGTTTTAATATAAATTCTTGTCAAAGTAAGCGCTTTGTGTCACTCTGTTTGACCTAAATAAAAATTAAGCACAAAAGTAATCCCAGTGTGATTTGATCATGGGCACTTTGTTCCCTAGTCCTGGCTCCTCAACTGTAAAATGAGGAACTGGAATTAAATCTTTTCAGCTCTGTCTGGTCAAATAAGAATAAGCATATGGTTTAAATCATGTTTTTCTCTCACCTGTCCAGCTTGAACAGATGGATTTGGAAGTCCGAGAGATACCACTCCAAAGTCGAGGAATGTACAGCAATAGAATGAGAAGCTACAAGCAAGAAATGGGAAAACTTGAAACAGATTTTGTGAGTCCAATCCATTTTTTATCATATTTACCACTCTTTAAACTGAATTTTCACTTACGTTTTTTATATTTCCTCCACATGCCTCAGTCAGCATTCAGTGTTTGTCTTTAGTTGTACAGAACACAAACAGCACCTTTCATTGTTTGTGGCTTGGGCTCTGAAAATGCTTACAGAGCTAGCTAATGATGGAATTTCAGGGATATTGGATTCATGGCTCACAAATACATCCAAATCATGTGGTCCTTTGAGTTTGGATTGTACACGTTGGTATTTAGCATTTATTAGAATTTTGAAACCCAATTTCAGACCAAAGTTTATAGCCTTTAAGATGCAGTGTTTATGGATGGACTTCAGAGGCTCACGACTATCCTGAAATTTTACAGCCACGCACCGCATAACGATGTTTTGGTCAATAACAGACCACATGTACAATGATGGTCCCATCAGATTGTTAACAGAGCTGAAAAATTTCTATTGCCAATGATGTGGTAGCTGTCATAATATCATAGCTCAATGCATTGCTTATATGTTTCTGGCGATGTTGGTGTAAACCTGCACGTCATACATATAAAAGTAAATCATGTACAATTTTACAGTACGTAATATTTGATAATGATAATAAACGACTATGTTACTGGTTTACGTATTTACTATAGTATACTTTCTATTGTCAGTTTAGAATGTACTCTTCGTACTTATATAAAAAAAAGTTTTCTGTAAATCAGTTTGCCATACTACGCTGGCAGCAGCCTCATACATCTCATGGATACCGCATCTCTTGATTGCATCATTTTCTCCTGTGCTTGATTTAATCACATGTTTTGTTCATCATGGCCTCTAAGCATACAAAATCCACTGCTAATGTTGCCAGTTGAGTGATTGACCTGCAATCAAAATTAAAAGTGATTAAGGACTACAAAGGCAGACAATCAATGATGGCTACTGCTCGCCAGTCAGGCGTGTCCCATTCCACCATAGCTATGCTCTTGAAGAACAAGAGCAAAGTGATGGATGCTGTTCAAGTATTTGCTTCATTGAAGGCAACGAGACTTAACAAAAATTAGAGAAGAGCCTCTATTAAATATGGAGAAACTTCTAATGACCTGGATTGAAGACCAGACACAGATGTGTATCCCTCTCAGCACCATGACCGTCATGGCCAAAGCAAAAAGTTTGTGATATTGAAAGATAGGGTTGGACCTAACTATGATGTTGAATTTACTGCTAGCTCTGGGTGGTTTCAACAATTCAAGAATTGTTATTCATTACATAATGTGAAAGTACTGCTGGCTGACGTGAAGGCAGCTGAAGAATTTTTGGAAACTCTAGATGTGCTGATTGTGGATGAAAATTACTTGCCAGAGCAAATAGTGAGTATTGATGAAACATCCCTATTCTGGAAATGAATGCCTGAAATGGCTTGCATCCATAAGGAGGCCAAGTTAATGCCAGGTTTCAAGGCTTCTAAGGACATGGTAGCAGTCTTTCATGGGGGCAGTGTTGTAGGCTACAAATGGAAACCCTTTGTGATCTGGCACAGTGAGAAACCAGGGCCTTCAAGCATATCAACAAGCACACACTACCAGTGTACTATGGGAGCAATAAGAAGTCATGGATGACCAGCGCCTCTTCCAGGATGCCCTCCTGAATTGCTATGCCAGCAAAATGGAAAAGTCCTGTTTAGAGAATAACAAAACTTTCAAGGTTTTGCTTATAGTTGATAATGCTCCCAGACATCCTCCTTTTATTGGCGATCTTCATCCCAATATCAAAGTGGTGATTCCTCCCTCCAAACACCACCTCTTTGATCCAACCAATGGATCATGGCGTCATAGCAGCTTTTAAGGCCTCCTACCTGAGGAGGACCTTTGTCCAGGCTATTGCTGCAACTGAGGAAGACACTGATGCAGTTCTGGAAGGATTACAGCATCTATTATTGCATGAAGAACCTTGCTTGGGCTTGGGGTGATGTCACCAAGCAGTAGATGAATGGCATTTGAAAGGAGACCAGAAGAGGCTCGTCCATGACTTCAAAGGATTTGCCAAGAATGAGGAGGTCGCAACAATCCACGAGGCTGTGGCTGAGATGGCAGACACTTGAACTTGGGTGTGGGTGAGGACAACATGGAGGAGCTCCCAGAGGTGGTTCCTGAGGAGGTGTTGGAATTGGAACAGGAACGCATATCTGAAGACGAGACAAGAGAAAAGGAAACTGCAGGAGGAAAAGAAAAAGAAGAACCCCAAGAAAACTCACAGTGAAGGGTTTAGCAGAAGCTTCAGCAGACCTCAACAAGCTCTTGAGAAAGCTTGAAAACACGGACCCAACACTGAAAGGTTTTCATGAATAGAGAGGGGTGTTCCTGGTACTCCAGCCTTTATGAACCGCTCATGTGTTTCTATGTGTACCTGCTACCATGGCTTTCTCCGGCGGTGTCAGGGGACACCCTTCACTAGTACCACCACCTACTGTTGAACAGTGACTTACAGTTTCTAAAGTGCTTTAACATAACATGATTTCCTGTCGTATGAAAAGTAGACAGAGCAGATGAGTACTATCCCCGGTGTACACATGATCGAACCAAGAGGCTCAGATTGATTTCATTCAGCAAGCCTTTCTCGAGCCCAGTGCTATATCACGCACTGTGCCACATGCTGGAAACAGCCTTTAAGATAAAATTGTTGATCTCATGGAATTAAATTCTAGTGGGGAAGACAAGAAACAAATACATGTATATCATAATTTCAGGTAGTTATAAATGCTATGAGTAAAAATAAAGTGAGTAAATGAGTAGAGAGTGACTAGCAGGGTGGTTGTGGCAATTTTTGCTGGGGTGTTCTCTGTGGCTCGAGAGAGAAGAGAGGTGCATGTGGCTATGGAGGGAGGCAGAAGAAAGATCAGTCTTAAAGATCTGGTTAAGACTGTGTCTTTTCCTCTCGGTTGACGAGAAACCATTGGAGGGCTTTGGGAAGTGAGTGGTCCTTTGAATCCTGTTTTACTGCTTTCTCCACATTGCCAGACTGTATCACATGATGTATTTGAATAGACTGTAGAAATTAGTTACCTAATTCTCTTTTATTATTTTCTTTCTATATTTAATTCTTTTATTTTTTAAAAGCAATGGAGGATATCTTCTTAAAAATATTTTTAACTTTCTTATGGTGATATACCATGCCTGCAAATATTGACTCCCAAGAAAAGATAGCAGAGATGGTCCCTCATCTCTCATTGGCAATGCTTATTGCAAATGAAGCAGCTCGCCTATTCCCCTTGTACTATCAAGACTTAGGGGGAACATTTGTACAATGGAGAAAGGCAGAGGACAACTCTATACCGTTTTCTCAGACCCCATTGTCCGCTTGCTTGCTTTTCTTGGACCCTCCTCCTCCTCTGCCTATCCCGTACATACCTGGATTCTGGAATCTTCAGGCTGCTTCTCCACTTACTCCAGTCTTATTCTGTGCATTGTCATCCATTGCTGTGGCTTCAATGACCACCTCTATGCTAGCCTGCGTTTCTAACCCCGACTTCTCTATAGCTCCAGATTCGTGTTTCTTACTACTTACTGGACACTTCTACTTCAGAGTCCCTAAAACACAAACACTTGAATTTGACAAGTGCTAGCCACTTCAGAGTTATCTTTAATTTTTCCCTCTCCATCACCTTGCACATACAGCTCACTGAGAATTAACAATCCTGCCACTTAAAGATCTCCTCTTTCATCTCCACTGCTGGAAGCCTTCATGTTTCTCAGTCTGGATGTTTGTAGCAGCTTTTTCTCCTTTTATTCCTCTCCTACGCTAAACCACCCTCCGCACCACTTCGGAATTATCTTTCTAACACCGGATCTGCATAGGCTACACTGTTCCACAAAATCCTACAGAGTCCTCATTGCCTGCTGAATAAAATCCAGGTCAACTCTACGCTTCCCCTTCTGTTCCATTGTTTCTTCACATGTCTAGTCATTTTATTACTGAATGCTTGATATTGTGGATCATGCGTTGCTAAGAGCCTTTATTTTAGAGCAGCGCATCTCAATCTTTTTTTCATTATCACCCCTCTAAAGAACCTTTTTAGACACTTTTTCCCTAATTGCCCCTCACTCTCCCCCAATGAGATTTTAATACTACAAATATTCTGTGTATCTGTACATCCGTTCATGTTCTATGGCCCTTTGGAGAATAACATATCTTTGTAATACCTAGGATTCTCCATCCTCCCAAGAACCAATCTTTGCCTCCATAGGCATGATAGCGCCTCTGTTGACGTGCATGTTTTAGAGAATGTTGAGCTTTATTTGGGCAAGCAGATAATTTACTAACAGAGCAGATTGCTCCTTCAAGGCTATTGTTAAGCTTTGTTAGGGCTTGTCTGGAGGAGTGCTGCTTTCAAGGTATGGCCTTTCTTGGTTCCATGTGTGTGACAGGGGCACTCAGTGAATGCTCTAGCCTCTGATTGGTCAGAATTCTATGTCCCTGCTTTGGGTGACCGCCAGAATCTCTATTATATCCATAACTCTCTAATACCTGTTCTCTGCAAGGCCTCATGGGATCTTGCCCTCTGCATATTGCAGATTCATTTTCAGCCAAAGACTTAAAAAGACCCCTTTATAGATTTCCGGAGCTCCTTCTCTCTGTGGCTCCCTTCTGTCCATTACCCTGCTAAATTTTATCCATCTCAGCAGCCCCAAACTCCATTGTCTACCTCCTGAGCTCAGGGACATGCTGTGCTCCATCAGGGCTCTACCCCCATGTGCTTTAACCTGGAAAGTACCTACATGGGTGACAGCCATGGCGACTGGAGGGCTCATCTCAAGTGTTTCTCTTCCCTGAGGGACTGCAGTCTTACCTTCCTGGTGTCCAGTGCTTCAAAACAATTGCTTCATACATTTTGTCCGTTTTCATAGTTATTTAGAGTAGGAGGGTTAGTCTTCGACCAATTACTCTGTCATGATTGGCATGAAAGTACAGTGTAGTTTTAATGTTTATTCATCCTTAGAGGA